TAAAGCTGCGATAGAAGCCAAAAGATTGAAGGATCTAATCAGATATGCGAAAAACTATCAAGAACAGCAAGGATACTTCGAGGAAGGCATGCAGCTGATCTATCATTATGGCGGAATAAATCTAAAAAATAATAGTGTCTCTCAAAATCTAAGTGATACCAAAAGAACAAAACGAGCTCATTCTGAATTGACATCTAATGAAGTAAGATTATTTAAATAAACATCCTCGATTTAAGAAAATTGAATAATCCGAGTGTTCCTTAGTCAATAAATTTCTATAATGATAAAAGTATTGTAATTTATTTATATGTCTGGAAACATTTTAGGACAATGTGATGCATGTGATTTTGAGAATACGTGTCCCGCTGCTTCGAGTAAAGTCTCAATATACGCTTATGGGAAAAGTGGGAAAGGAGATGTTACATGGGAATGGTTTACTTGTTGGGAATTTTAGTAAGAAAATACTCGTATTTTGCGAAACATCGCTTGAAAATGATGTAAAGTTATACATTTCTATTGCTTTTATAGCCGACGTAGTGGGCGACTTTACACTGGAATTAAAGAAAATTAACGAAGAATTGATAATAGTTCGTGGTGCTAGAGCGAAGCTATCTGCGAAAGATAAAAAAATCAATCTTGAAGGTATGGACGAGAAAGGACCGGTGCAAGCCATTCTCAGTCATGGTAAGTACGAGCAATATTTAAACATAGATGCAAATTACGTTAAGTTAATGAAATCAGTAAATAAGGAGCATAAAAGGTCGTTTTGCAATCAATTACTTTCAAAGTTTTGTTTAATTATTTTAAAATTCAAATTTATTTATAATATTTTAGTATTTTAAATTTTATTTATATTAATTATAATTACTACGTGAAAAAGATCTTGTAACTTATATGCTCTTGTTTTATATATTATATTTTATTGCTTCTACTTTTGTGGCAAATTTTAATATTTGCTTTTTTTAAGTAATAACTGAAGTAATATAGTTCTCAGCATATTTCATTTTTTAACGGAAACAAATAAGTTTAAATAATTATCAGCAGTTAATTATCAAAATAAATTGGTTGACAGCTAAAAATCCGGATTTGCCAATTATATATAGTCAGTTGTTTTTATTGCGTGACGCGATTCTTCTGTAATTACTTGGTAAAATGAAAAGCCGAATTCTTTCTTGGAAAGTAACATAGATCAATCGGTGATATGACGATATCGAGAACAAGTATCGTGCATATTGTTGGCAATTATCATAAACAGTATATGTAGAGGGAAGGAAAAAATGATTTTGCGTTTTACATTTTAAAATATTTCATATACATTTTTAAAATATTTCACTTTGGGAATACGAGGAAAAACAGGATATATACAAAGTGTTGTGATCTGAATCAATGTCGCAGATTGTCGGAGTCGATCGCAGGAACGCCGATACATTCGAGTAAAAGTTCTCGCTTTCTTGTGAACGCGACCGAATGAACTCGTAACGAAACGATCCCGCGCGACATTAACTTGGTTAATTTTTCATTCTGTCGTTGACTTTTCTCTTCATCCTCCTTTTCCTCCTTCTCCTTCTCCAGGTTTAATAGCTGCAGAGGCAGTCGCCGCAATGCTCGCTGATGACTTTGCGACCAAGGGACTTAGTGAGAGAACGGCCGACGCGCTGGTCTACAGAATGTACAAGGATTTACCAGTCAATTAAGCTGTCTATTCGGTCACTCGGGGTGATCGAGGATTTTATATTGCTAATTTTTATTTTATATATATTTATTTTTTATTTGATTTCCTTACTTTTATTTGCATTTTTGTTTACTTTATTTTTAAGACGTTCTTTTAAAATATTTTTTTATTTCTTACATTACTGTATATTTATAATCTATATATTTCCAAATTATTAACGTGTCCAACTGTACTTATTAGTACATATGCATTTATTATTTACAAGATTTATTTAATTCTTTGTTTATTTATTTATTTATTTATATTTAATTATCTATATTGTGTGTAAAAGATAAATTAATTTAGAGGAATCATTATTTATAAAATTATACTTTAATCATAATTTAATTTTATTAATCAATATATTTATTAATTAATTAATCAATGTTAATAAAATAAATTTTTACAACAAAATTGAAAAGATTTTTTGAATATTTTTTTCTCATATTGCTATTGTATATCTAAAGGAGAAAGTGGGAAAATTGGGCACATTTAAGAGAAATTTATTTCTGTAATTTTTGAAATTGAAGTCACTATAAATGCAAACTATAAGTATCTTTCTATTGATATGCATGAATAATTTTTTATTTGATAATGTTGTATTTGGTAAAAAGTAAAAAAAGCAAAAGCAAAAAAATTTTTAGCGCGTCGGATAATTGTGCGCAGAGCAAAAATTGTAAGAAATTAATATAAAACTAATAAAATAAATATTTCATGAAAAAATGTTTCATGGAATGTTGGTAAGAAAATAAAAAAATATATTATTATACCAATGTGTGTGTTAATACAAAATTAATATAAACTTTGAAAAAATAGTACAAAAATTGGAAAAATTATTTTTAAAAAAATCACGTGTGTTATTTTCAGTGTCATCAGCTCGACTACATTCTTCATGAACCCATTTAGAACATTGACTGCATTGAAATCACCCAGTTGACCTCAGACTAAAAGTAACATAATATCAATGCAACTGCTAAAGAACATACAAAAGTCAATAAAAAATTAAAATTTATTGCCATATGAAATATGAGCTGGGAGGATCTCATTTGTCTACAAATCGATTGCTTACAGTATCGTTTGCTACATCACTTTTTCCGACAGTTCGTTTACATACAAAAATTGCTTACAGTTCGATTACCTACATGAACTTTTGCGCACAAATACAAATTTTAGAAACAGAGTTACTTTTGCCTACATTATTATTGCCTACATGTATTATTGCCTATAGATCGATTACTTACATACATTATTGCCTACAGTTCACAATCTTCCACGCGAAATGAGGGTCATCTTACACCAAAAAATAGGTTGATTAGGGTTAGATTTTTTTGGAAAAAAAAAATATAAGCGGATACTGTCTACGCTGATATTGTTTATATGACAGACTTCCTAAAAATATAAATTATTTTCTTACTTAACTTTAATTTTATATTTGTGCGCAAAAGTTCTTGTAGGCAATCGAGCTATAAGCAATAATATATGTAATAATATATGTAATCGAACTGTAGGCAATAATATATGTAGGCAATCAAATTGTAGGCAATAATACATGTAGGCAAAAGTAACTCTATTTCTAACATTTTTATTTGTATGCAAAAATGCATGTAGACAATCGAGCTGTAGACAATAATTTTTGTGTGCAAACAAACTGTCAGCAAAAGTAATGTAGGCAAACGATACTGTAGGCAATCGATTTGTAAGCAAAAGCAACTATCTCGTATGAGACCAGTCATAGTTCAATTTGCACTGATACCAGTCTTCATTACTTATAGAATAATCTATTAAATATAGATGATTGAAAATAGTGAAATATTGAAGTTGAATCGGTAAAATGCCTCAATATAATTTAATCTAGTAGCAACTTACGAATCGGAATGCTGTTTCATAAAACAGAAATACATGAAAATCTATCTAATTGTATATTTTATTTGCTAATCATATCAACATTTAGGAACAAAAACTTTTAAACTCGTGTAATTTGCCATTAGGAAATTTTGCCATTAGGGAAAATTGTACTGTCGTAGCACAATTCAGCATAACTGAAAAAATTCCAAAAATGCCGAATTTTATTTATTTACCCCACCCTTTTTTTTAAATTTGTATCGAGCCTTAAGCTAATTCCTACTTTTTATGCGTGTGCTTCGTAGATTTTGAGTAGCACAATTCAGTACAACTCGCAGAAAATTCGATTATCTCACACCGTTCGCGAGCAGTGTTGGTAACCATACAATAATTATCGTACATGTACGATAATTTCACTTAAGGTATGATAGCACTTCATTATCGTACGTCTAAAATATGACAATTTTGTATTTCTAATTTGTTACTTCTCTCTTAATTTTTTTATTTTATATACATATTATCAACAGAGTAGGCAGTATGTAGTTGAATTGAAACTAGACTGTGATTGTATAATTCTCATAGAATTGAATACATATTACTATTGAATGTCAATAATAACTTATCACAGGCCAGATATGTAGCCAACTTCACGCGTATTATATGACACTTATATTTCTAAAATCTATTAATCTAGGTATGGTTTTTAAGTTTTCGGCACTGCAGCAGCGATAGCGACATTGTTGAGAATTGATTGAGAAATTTCTGATCTATTTCAGAAGCTGATTTCAGCCTATGTTACTGTTAAGTAATAAATAAAACTGTTATTTCTGACCGTTTTAATTACGAATTAAAATCTTACATATTCCGTATTTAAATTTTATTCACGCGCGCGCATTGAATAAAAATGTGTAAACAATTGACGACAATATGAGGGCGCTCCTCGTCTCGATCCCAGGCCTGGTTTCTCCTCCGAGTTGGTAAACTTTCGCTCTGTCACTGAGTCACACAGCCCTGATGCTATTGGTATTTCTGTTGTGTCTATATCTAAATTTCTACTACAATTCGGCTAGTCTGACATCACATTTGTGTTTTTCTCGAATGCTCATTCTTAAATCAAGACTGCAACTGTTGTTGGACAGAATCCGAATGAGCTCGACCCGCCTGACAACACATTCGACTTGGAATGTCTTCATGGCATTTTCCCGCCATATTCAGGATCTTCTTTCAGAGGTTATCGGAGTTCCCGGGGCACGACCGCCATCTACCGGGCAATCAACCAATTCTCGTGTTCTCCGTCTAGGCATCTCTCGGTCATCTGGGCTGTTCATTATTTCTGTCCTTGTTCTGTATCAGAGTCCCAGTCTCTTACTGAATCATTCCGAGCACACTTCGGGCATTCTCGCCACCGGCTCCGACTCCTTATAGAGCAGCTGACTCCAACATTTTTCTAAAATCCTGATCCCCTTCCCCTAAGAGGTAGCAGGCACACTAATCCCACCTCTGAGCTGTAAACAATTGACAGAGAAAAATATCTGGGCGCTCCTCGTCTCGATTCCAGGCCTGGTCTCTCCTCCGAGTTGGTAGACTTTCGCTCTGTCACTGAGTCATACAGCCCTAAAACTGTTGGTATTTCTGTTGTATCCATATCTAGTAAATTTTTTACAAATGTATGTAAGTACGATAATTCTAGATTAGGTACGATAATTTTACGGCCCTGATACGATCGGTCACTGCTTCTAGGTTACCAACACTGTTCGCAAGTTACACGAATTTGAAGTTTTTCGTTCCTAAATATTAATATGGCTAGCAAATTGTATTTTTTTTTAGAAAACGCTTCATGTTATTGAACTGCGGTTTACGGCACAAATCGGCATAAATGTGGTATAGCACAATGCAATTAAAAAAATTACAAAATTCGAAAAGTGCAAAGCCAACTTTACACACGTTAGGAATGCTCCTCAAAGAAGATGATCGCATTTGAAGATAATCTTATACAGAAGTGTGCTGACAGGATCATATATTGATGCCACGCGACGATGTATTAACACCGAGCAAACGAAAATAGACTGATTATCAGTACCATCGACAAGACAATTAACTTTCTATTATTTTAATACAATTCCGGCAATTTTAGTACATTATAGTACTTTTTTGAAATATATCGTACTGACACTGACAAGAACTATTAAAAACCCTCGGCCCTGGGCAAATTTTCGTGACTATCAATGAGGCTCAGGAGGCCCGGGGAAAATTGAAGAATCATGACGTTCCTGACAATTAAAAATTTATGATTAACATAAATATTTCGATGATACGTTATTCAATTCGTGATTTTTTATTATATAAAAGCTGTATAACTAAGTATGTATACTTTTAATGACATAATATCTTATATATTGCCGAAAAATTACAATTTTTCCTCTGCAGTTATCATCTCTATTGATAATCAAATTCGGATGATATCATTAAAATCACGGTTTTAAATAAAATCGAATATTGTTAAGTTTTAAACATATGTACATGTCTACAAAACTAATAAATTATGAAATTAATACCGTATTACTAGTTTATTACTCTTAATCACTTAAATTTTAACAGGCACGCGAATTTCCATAAGCGCCGAGGATCTTTAATAGTCTCTTGTCAGTACGATATATTTCAAAAAAGTACTATGACATACTAATTGCCGGAATTGTACTAAAAATAGTAGAAAGTTAATTGTACTGAAAAGAACATCTCTGGGTATGTAATGAAGGAGCCACAGACAAAGCAATAATTAAACTGGCTTTTTTATAGATCTTAATACCGGTTTTTTCATAACATTATGTGTAAAAAATCTAATCATAGAATATCTGATAAATCAAAATAAATAAAGAATTTGTAATTACATTCTTAGTTACATTAATGTATATGGTATATTTGATAAAAAAAACTTTTTCTAAAAACTAATCGCAAATAAATAAAAAAGGAAATTTAACTTAAGAAACATACTTTTTGTAATGATAATTTTACATATCTCATTACGGTAACGTCGTTTTGATGATGACTGTCAAGTGTTCATGGACGTAGTTTTAATATCAACGCTTGCTACGAAGAATAGCACGTTTCATTTGTCCTACGAAAAACTCCACTCATGACGTTGCGTCGAAGAACGTTATGTTTCCGTTTTGCCGTGAAAATCAATATATTTAAATTTTGACTTTCGAAAAGCAGTACATTTCATTTTATATCGCGAAAACTAATATGTTTGATGATTTGACTACGAAAAGTAAGTCTATTTCTTTATACCGCGAAAAGTAATATGGTTGTGGATTATCCTTCGAGAATTTCGATGTCAAAGGTTAGAAGTAGAAATACGAGGACTGTCTGAAAAGTTTCCGACCTAACAAAGATAGAAGACATTTTTTCTGAAATTTTATTTTTTTTTTTCAACATAGTCTCCTTGTAACTCTACACACTTCTCCCAGCGATGCTCCCATCTCTGTAACCCGTCCAAATAGTACTTGGCGTTTTTCTCTGCAAAATAATTGTTCACGAAGGTGATTGCCTCTTCATTTGACGAAAATCTCTGTCCTCCGACCGCAATTTTTAGATGAGGGAACAAAAAGAAGTCGCTTGGGGCTAGATCTGGTGAGTAAGGCGGATGGTCAAGCAGTTCAAACCGTAATTCGTGGATTTTCGCCATGGCAACCACTGAGGTTTTTGGTCTAACGTGAGCAAACGCGGCACCCAACGCGCGGACAGCTTTGTCATGCCTAAATGTTCATGTAATATGTGACAAACACGTTCTTTTGACATTTTCATAACCTCTGCTATCTCTCTCACTTTAATTCGGCGGTCGTCTAGCACAATTTGGTGAACTTTGGCGATGTTTTCGTCGGCAGTTGCAGTTTTTGGACGTCCCGAACGTTCATCGTCTCCCAAGCTCTTACGGCCACGTTTAAATTCAGCTGCCCAAAATTTCACTGTGGTAAATGATGGTGCAGAGTCCCCGTACACAGAATCCAACTCATCTTTGATTTGCGTAGGCGTATTGCCTTTCAAAAACAGATATTTAATGACAGCTCGATACTCGATTTTGTCCATTTTCACAAAATGACTAACATGAACTCACTCAAACGACTGCTACATAACAACTGTGCGTCCAAAATGGCTGAAACTGTGGTGAGTAACTGTTAACAGATGAACAACGAAATTCACTAGCTTTTACTTACCAATGCTGCTATCTTCACGTTGAGGTCGGAAACTTTTCAGACAGCCCTCGTACTCATACCAGTAATTTTATTTTTGATTTTAAATAGTAAAATGAATACTCCATTGTTATTGTTGCTTTTTAGTTGTATAATTTTATTTTTAGTCTACGTTTTTACAATGTCAAGCTAACATAAGTATGTGAAAAATACAAAAAATTAAAATTTGTGAGTCTGTAAGGTTATAAAGATAGAATTCAATGAACGGATAAACGGAACTATGAGCGAATATATGAATAAACAAAAGAAAGAAAGAATAAATGAATCAATGAATGCCTTAGCAAACAAATTAATGATTAACCGCGTTTCAACGCTGAAACGTATTAGTTTAAAGGGAAACATGCTACTCTTCGTAAAACATTCAAACATATTAATTTTTGCGGTATAAAGCTAAATATGTTACTTTTCGCGACTAAATGCGATTAAACGCTGAAACGTCGTAGTTTTCGTAGCGAGAACCAAAACGTGATAATATTCGTCAATTAAATTGAAACATGCTTCTTTATTGGTATTAAATGAAAATATTTTTTAATTTTTGGCAATATTCAATTAGTTGAAATACGAAATAGCTGTTTCAAAACATGTTTCTTTCATGTCTACTCTTTTCTACTCAGTGGCGTATTTACATATTTTTGCACTCTAAGCCTTATACTTTTCGATGCCTTTTTAAGATACTTGACGCTCCTTTCAGATAAATAAACAATAAAGAATAATTTTAGATACTGTTAAAAGGCGTCACACTTTTTACGCCAAGCTTCAAGATTTTATTTTGTACGCCAAAGCACTATTTCAAGGTGCCACATTGGCGGAAGTGCGTCATATCCGTCAATCTGCACAAATATAAAATTAACTTTAGGACCACTTCAACCAACTTTAATCGATGGTAAGTTCATTAGAATTGGCCAATTGCAGCTGTGTGAAATGACAAATTGATTAATTCCAATGGATCATCGATCAAAGTTAATTGTAGTTGGTCAAAGTTGCCCTTAATCTCGATTCCTAGAAAAATGATGTCTCTATACCGATATCCTTAAAAGGATAACGTTTTAGGCCTCTAGAAGGATGGCGCGAGCTTCATGAACTTCTGTCTAAATTCGCTAGTGCAAGTAGTAATATTATTTTTGACTCTAATAGCTTGACTCTATACGGAAAATCATTTTGTAATTCGAAATATGTCAATAAATTATTCTTGTGTTGCACATATACGAATGCCTTGGTGAAAATGTAAAGCTTGTCGAAGCGTCAAAGAAGTATGAACAAAGAATTTTAACAATTCTTAAACACTTCATTGACTTTCCATCGACTCTTAGTAGTTTTGAATATTCATACACGCTCCATGAACTTTCCCCAAACGCTCCGTAAAGCCCAAAATACATTGGTCATATTTCCTACACGTATTAAATTTTTTTTTCATTAACGTTTCTCATACGCTTCTCAACACTCCGCAAAGAACGCATGGAGCGTACTGATACTTCCTAAAGACTTCATTCATTACTTCGTCTACGCTTCCGAAACGTTCGGCAAAAAGTACACGGAGTATTCAAACATGCTTTGTGTATGCTTCTAGAATATAGAGATAAAAAATTTATTTTACAACGGAGCGTTATTGAACTGTACAGCGAACGTAAACAAAGCGTCGCTGAGTAGCACGCGGCACCGCCACCAGAGGGACTTAGCGAGAACTAAAAAACTTCTCGAATTTAAAAAACCACACAGACTAAGATAAAAAGACGTAGCATTGAAAGATTTTTCAGTTGTGTTTTAATGAAATAATTTTTTGAAATGTATTCCTAGGGCTCCAAGAAGAAAATATATAGCACTTTTTTTTAGATATTATCGAATAAATGAAATATATTTTAAAATATTTTATCAACTCAATTACATTTCATTCACGTTCGTCTAAGAACTCGACGATGCTCCGCTTACGTTCTCTAGACTGCCTAATCACGTTCCATTTACATTCAACGAACATTCTGCTCATGCTTGCCGAAGAACTTATCTATACTTTTATTTATGTTTCTTTAATGTTTAGTTGACGCTTTCTTTATGTTCCATGTTTCAATTTTTGCTTCTTACGGATTTCATTTACGTTTCTGTTACTTCTTTCTTACACTTCCTTTATACTCCTAAATTAACGCTTTATTGACATTCGCTTTACATTTTATTTTTATCAAGGTGTTCTTCAATAAATCGCATATTCATTATGCATACCATAATAAAAGATTTTTAAAAAGCACAGAATATCATCAGTTTGCGTCTTGCTTCTATTTATGAATTTCCTCTGATTTAAAATTGGAATTACTTTAACTATTCGGCATTTGTGTTTCTTTCTTTCTTTCCTCATTTTCTTATTCTTTTTTTATATTGTTATATTATTTTCTACAAGCGTTATTAGTCAAATATAACATCACTATGTAAGGTCAATAAAGATGGGAAGGTTTTGATTTAATAAGTATTGTATTTGCAGCGAGAATAATTATCAAGAATCTTATCTAGCCTTAGCAATTAAAATAATTGCTAGGAAAAAAAAATATACATAAGCGAGAAACTTGAGAAGGAGGATAACGATTGAACTTAAGAAGGAGGATAATTTGTAGCAACATGCGTTGAAATGGTGATTATTCGCACGTCTTGAGATTGATTAGAGATAAGAAATTTAAATTGATTCGTACTAAAGTCAGTTATAAAAATCAATCCGATTATAAGTATAAATACTTGTCGACAGCAAGAGAGAATTTAATGAAGCTTTGTTTAACAATTGAGTAACTTCTTCTCTAATCTAAAGAAACATACTCGCACATCGTAGCCCTGGCCTAAGACCTGAAAGTCCTTGTTGACATTTTCCAGCATCGGTATCGTAATCTTCGTATGTAACTTTGTATCTATCTTTTGCATATACTACAATTGTAATCTTACATATGTAACGTGCTTACATATTGCTCATTAGCATATCTTATTATGCGCGTTTATATTATAATTGAGATTAGATTGCTGTTATGCTTTCGTGTTTGTCAACGCGGACATGAGCAAGATTTTCTTATACTTTAATAATATTTTATATCAAACTAAGGATAACAGATAATTATACTATTATTATGTTGCTATATGATTAATCGAATTGCTCAATATTTACAGAATAGAATAAATTTACACAAGAATGAATTTAATTCGTTGAAATGACATATTAATTAGATGAAATAATATTTATGTTGTGTGTAGTACAACAATAATATTATATAATTACGAAGGCAAAATTAAAAAAGGAACAGCTCAAGATTTATAAAAGCAAATAATAATCTTTTACTTAATTGAGAATTATTTACCTCCACTCTAAAACCTTTTCTCAACGTCTTATATATAAAAATACAAAAAAATATTATATAAATATTATATAAATATTATCAATCTTTAACTGATATAGAGACGTAATGCTGATTATATTATACATATATGATTTGAAGCATCAAGCAAAAAGTTGATAGTTTTTATTTAAAAGAAAAAAAATATGTTGTGTTATTAAGGAACAGAAGATCGTTCAAGCGGACCGTCATTTTTTATTTATTTGATATAATGGCTTTGTCGCTTTAGGCTGAAATTATTTAGTGTTACAAGTAAAGTTTCTTTTAAGATATATTATTAGTTATCCATCTGCAGAAAAAATGACAGGAGAATTACTGCAGCAGCAATAACAGCATTTCGAAAGTCAGTGATCCCGCTTTAGAACCACGATGCGTAAATGTCTGTACGATCGCGTCCTCATCCTTGAACATCGCGAAAAGGACCGCGTTCCCATTGTTACGCGGAGATGTCGCGAGATTGCAATGCTTAGGGTACTCCCGTAATTCCGGCGGATGTATGCAAGCCTGTACGGTCACGTGCATATGCATATGTCGTGTGTCAATCTTGACTACGGCCCTGACTGAGTTAAGAGGAGGCATTCTACCGTAAATTCACCATCGCCTTCGATGTTGTTCGAGTGGGGTAGTAGCGGAGAAAGTGCTCATACTTTATATATATTCGCTCGATGGGGCCATCGTACGCATTTTCGATATTGCTGGTAACTAATTGCGAACACGCATAATCTCGTGACATAGCTAAAATACACCGCAACCACACACGCAGGATTATCGATAGGATGATGCTAATCGGGCTTGTACTGTTCGCTATGTGGACTAGGACTGCCGTGTCGGAGCTGCGTAAGTTCTCTTCGCCTTTTTTTTTTTGTTAAAAATATAATTATTATATATAATGATTAATAGTGAGGGAGTTAGTCACGGTTGCTTATAAATAAAAAACGTCTATTAAATTAAATTTAACTTTTATAAATGATATAGTTTCTGTTATACGTAGCTTCTATAATTAGAAGACTAATAAAATATAGAAAAAGTTTAAGCAACAAAGAAGGAAGCAGATAAAATAAAGCAGGGATAAATGTTCTTTAATAAGCAAATAAAAGAAATAATACTATTATAAATATAAAATATATTATTGCATATATTAAAAGAAGTTTAAGTTACTTAAAAAAAAGACAAAATTATTTGTAATAATAATGTATAAACAAAAAATTAAAAATACTTTTTTTTGTTCGATATATTTTTAATGATATCCTGCAGTTTTTTTATTTACTATCAGCTATAAAAATAAAATAAGATTAATTGCCATAAAATGAAAATTGACTCAAATTCTGAATATTATTAATTATTCATAATCTTTTTTATGTTGTTATTGATTAGCCAGGATTTTAGTCTAAAACGATTTACAAGTTATTTGGTATGCAGAGCATATTTTAAATTAATGTAAGAAGATGACTCTATATGAAAAAGTAAATTAAAAAGC